GACTTGACTGTTGGTTGGCCATGTGGGAGTATCCAGCGCCTTAACCACCACACCATCCTGCTGGCCCCCAAATTTTTATTTTTTATACTTTTAAATTTTTAATTCTTTTTTAAGAAATATATTTATTTAATTTTATTTACCATTATTATAATTTTTTCAATTTGACAGGAGAGAGAAAGAAAATAAGAAAGCAATCCTCTAGGTCTAGGACCCAAACTATAGTTGGCTATGTGGAAGTTCAGCATCCTAACCACCATGCTGCCTGCCTGCTCTTCTTTTCATTAATTTTTAAGTTTTAATTAATTAACTAATTATGCTATAAGGCACATGCACTCGCCAGAAAGAGACAAAGAGATAGTGAGACATCTTCCCCCAGAGGGGAGGGCCAAGCTGCAATACCTTTTCCTCCATTCTCTTCTCAGGATTTTGGGTATGCACACACACATGCCCAGTGTGATTTCCAAGTTGCCAGGTCTGGGACTTGAACCACACAGCTGGCCATGTGGGATCCAGCATTCCACCCTCTATGCCACCCACTGGTTCTTTATTGTTTTTGTCAGAGTGTGCTTGTTCTTGCCAGAGAAAGAGAGAAATGGAGCGCAACCCCTCAGGGTTCATGCTGCCATCCCTCTGGTGTCTCCATTTCTCCATACCATCGGGATTTAAGGCACACATGCACACACTCCTGGGGTGTATCTCAAAGCTCGGAGGCCAAGACTCCAACCACAGTGGGCCATGTATTACCTTGCTTTCAAGGCACAGTATTTAACTTCTGCACTACAGAACTACCCCTCCTGTTTTTTCAGTTACTTACAACTTATTTCACAGCCCTGGGCCTTGGGAGCTGGCCATGTTAGCCCCATTACAGGGAGTGCCTGACTGCTCAGTGCTTTAGGTGCATTATCTCATTTCATCCTCTCTAGAACCTTTATCTATTTGATTTTATGGAGACTGAAAAGACTAGTAACCTGGCTGAGGTCACATAGCTACAATAAAAAGGGGTAAACAGGATGGTGGTGCGGTGGTAAAACATGACACTCTGTGAGGAGGCTGACCCACTGGGAGGATTCTGGGTTCTGGGAGCTCTCCAAGTACGTCGGATCCACTTGTGTCCATATCTGGGGTTGGCTGAAACTGGGGTGGATCATGGCCTCAGCACACTGTTGAGGGTGCTGTTTTTCTTCTGTCTTGTTCTTACTTACTCATGGAAGAAAGAAATAAACTTTTTTTTTTTTTTTGAGAGAGAGGTTTTTGCTATGGAGTGCACGTGCTCGCCCGAGAGATGGAGAGAAGCAGAGAGACAGAAAGTGAGAGATCACCCCCTGAGTGAATGGTCACGCTGCAATCCCTTCTCCATTCTCTCAGGATTTTGAGCACACATGCACTCACACCCGGCGTGAGTTTAAGCTGCTGGGTCCAATAGCAGACCACAGTTAACTACCTGGGAGTCTAGCGCCATAACCATTACACCACCTGCCAGTCCCATAAATAAATTTGTTTTTCCCTCTTTTTTCTTTTTTAGAGGTTTTTGCCTTAGGGCTTGTGTACTAGCCCAATTGAGAGAAAGAGAAAAAAAAAAACAGAGACAATCTCTCCTCCATTTTCCTCTCAGGACCTCTGGCACACATGCACACACACCCAGTGTGCCACTGGGTTCGGGACTTGAACAACGTGGTCAGCCATGTGGGACTCCAGTGACGTAATCACTATGCAATCTGCTGGCCTCAGAAGTAAACTTTAGAAATTAAAATAAGGAGGGCCTACGACCCTGATGGTCTGGTTTCAAAGCCCTGAGCTTTATCTACAAGGCACAGGGAGGAGGGGTATGGAATTGTCACTCCTAATATCTTTTCAGCAGGTGACGGATTCAGCCACAAGCCAAAGCCCAGGCCTTGAGGAGCCCCAAGGTGGGTCTGGGATTTGGGGTTAACTGGGGACCCTGGGGAGTGTCTTCTCCACTTTTGGTGTGATTAATTACATTTTCCTCTAGAGTCAGGAAGAGCAATGTCTCTAGGACTCCACCAAAGGTACCCTCTCGGGGCCTCTGAGGAACAGGTAATAATACCTCTCAGAACAACTGAAGTGGTTAGAGGAGTGAAGAGCTGCTGAGCCCAACTAACCTGCCTCCTGCTTACCCTGCCCCAACATCAGGGGCAAGTGTGCAGCTTCTGGCAAATAAAGGACCTGAAGGGCGACTGGACCCCTAGGGGAGGAGTATGGGGACGGGCTGTTTTCCTGCTGGGTTGGATTAGGTGTACAGGAGTAAGGCACCCTTTAGGGCCTCTATGGCACCTCTTGGCACAGCCAGTATCTTCCCTCTCCCTTAACTTCTGCACTACAGAACTACCCCTCCTGTTTTTTCAGTTACTTACAACTTATTTCACAGCCCTGGGCCTTGGGAGCTGGCCATGTTAGCCCCATTACAGGGAGTGCCTGACTGCTCAGTGCTTTAGGTGCATTATCTCATTTCATCCTCTCTAGAACCTTTATCTATTTGATTTTATGGAGACTGAAAAGACTAGTAACCTGGCTGAGGTCACATAGCTACAATAAAAAGGGGTAAACAGGATGGTGGTGCGGTGGTAAAACATGACACTCTGTGAGGAGGCTGACCCACTGGGAGGATTCTGGGTTCTGGGAGCTCTCCAAGTACGTCGGATCCACTTGTGTCCATATCTGGGGTTGGCTGAAACTGGGGTGGATCATGGCCTCAGCACACTGTTGAGGGTGCTGTTTTTCTTCTGTCTTGTTCTTACTTACTCATGGAAGAAAGAAATAAACTTTTTTTTTTTTTTTGAGAGAGAGGTTTTTGCTATGGAGTGCACGTGCTCGCCCGAGAGATGGAGAGAAGCAGAGAGACAGAAAGTGAGAGATCACCCCCTGAGTGAATGGTCACGCTGCAATCCCTTCTCCATTCTCTCAGGATTTTGAGCACACATGCACTCACACCCGGCGTGAGTTTAAGCTGCTGGGTCCAATAGCAGACCACAGTTAACTACCTGGGAGTCTAGCGCCATAACCATTACACCACCTGCCAGTCCCATAAATAAATTTGTTTTTCCCTCTTTTTTCTTTTTTAGAGGTTTTTGCCTTAGGGCTTGTGTACTGGCCCAATTGAGAGAAAGAGAAAAAAAAAAACAGAGACAATCTCTCCTCCATTTTCCTCTCAGGACCTCTGGCACACATGCACACACACCCAGTGTGCCACTGGGTTCGGGACTTGAACAACGTGGTCAGCCATGTGGGACTCCAGTGACGTAATCACTATGCAATCTGCTGGCCTCAGAAGTAAACTTTAGAAATTAAAATAAGGAGGGCCTAGGACCCTGATGGTCTGGTTTCAAAGCCCTGAGCTTTATCTACAAGGCACAGGGAGGAGGGGTATGGAATTGTCACTCCTAATATCTTTTCAGCAGGTGACGGATTCAGCCACAAGCCAAAGCCCAGGCCTTGAGGAGCCCCAAGGTGGGTCTGGGATTTGGGGTTAACTGGGGACCCTGGGGAGTGTCTTCTCCACTTTTGGTGTGATTAATTACATTTTCCTCTAGAGTCAGGAAGAGCAATGTCTCTAGGACTCCACCAAAGGTACCCTCTCGGGGCCTCTGAGGAACAGGTAATAATACCTCTCAGAACAACTGAAGTGGTTAGAGGAGTGAAGAGCTGCTGAGCCCAACTAACCTGCCTCCTGCTTACCCTGCCCCAACATCAGGGGCAAGTGTGCAGCTTCTGGCAAATAAAGGACCTGAAGGGCGACTGGACCCCTAGGGGAGGAGTATGGGGACGGGCTGTTTTCCTGCTGGGTTGGATTAGGTGTACAGGAGTAAGGCACCCTTTAGGGCCTCTATGGCACCTCTTGGCACAGCCAGTATCTTCCCTCTCCCTCCATGGTCTTGGATTCCAGGCTCTTCCAGGCCAGTGAGTCTCTAGATGTAGTTCTGGGAGGAACCCTGGCAATGAGGTTCTTTGGGAGAAGTTGGGCCCTGTCTTCCAAAGTTGTGGGCTTTTGGAACACAGGCTTCTAGTTGAACTTAGACTGATGGCACCTGGGCCTGGCAGGTCCCAGATGTGGCCCTGCAGTTCTCCCTGGCCCAGGCCCGGAGGCAGAGACTGCGAGAGCAGCACCAAATTAGGATCAGAGAGGAGCTGAAGCATTTGGAACAAGAGGAGGAGGTGGTGGCGGGTCACCAAGTCAAAGGCCTGCTGGCTGAAGAGGTGAGGAGGATCAAGGAGTGAGCTTGACACTCCCTCTAACCGGGCTGGGGATCTCTGCTGGGGGCCAAGGTCAATTACAACTGAAGGGTCCCAACTCACTTTCATAGCCCTTAGGGCCTTGAGGGGGTGGGGGAGTGGGGGGTGGGGTAATGAGGCAATTCTCAGGGTTAAGTGCTGTGATGGGGGAGCCAGGAGCCATAAGAACACTGAGACATACCGGATCCAGGCTGGAATGGCTCAGAGGAGTTGGCATCTTAAAGGAGACTTAAACGACAGACAGAAAGCAGCTGGGAAATTCACTAGACCCTGAGCGCCTCACGCGGAGGCACTCAGTAAATACTAGCTTGAACAAATGAAGAGACAAAATTTGTACACATGGTAGGGGGTGGGACATGTTCTCAGAGGACGGAACTATATAAGCAAAGGTCCAGGGGGAAGCAATGGCAAATGGTTCTGGGAATCACAAATTCTACGTCAGACAACTACTTGTCTATAAATTACTCCCGAGTTAAGATACTCAGGACACAAAGGAAATACAATTATGTTTGAGGGAAGCAGTGCAACATAGAAGACACAGAACAATTGTGACTGGACCCACCCTACATTCTGGTACTTTATTAGGAATTTGTTTACATGGGACCAGCAGGTGGTGTGGTGGTTAAGGCGCTGGACACTCCCACATGGCTGACCAGGGTTCAAGTCCTGAATCTGGTGGCTTGCTTTCTTCTCACTTCCTCTCTCTCTCACTCTCTCGCTCTGTCTCTCTCTGGTCAAACTAAAAAATGAATGAATGAATAAAATAAAATAAATAATTATTAAAAAAAAGAAAAGAATTTGTTTACGTGGTTAAAGAGGCATTGTTTACAAAGAGAACAGCTCCATGGCCTGGTGGTTAAGGTAGCCAGATTCCACATGGCTGACTGCATGGTTTGAGTCTTGGACCCAGAGGCACGAGAAACATGCTGGGTATGTGTGTGTGCATGCCAAAATCCTGAAAGAAGGGACAGATAGAGGAGAAAGGATTGTGGCATGACCATTCCCCATGGAGGGGATGCTTTCTCCTCTCCCTCTTTTTCTCTTTTTCTGGCCAGCACATGCACCCTTCAGTTTAAAAAAAAAAAAAAAAAAAAGACAATGAATGAACTATAGGTTTCTTGTACCTGGTCCCAGGTCACTCTGTGTAGTTTCCCCAGGCTGTTGGGAGCTGGGACCCAGAGCAGGAAGGATGATCTCTCCTAGGAGTCTCAGATGAGGCAGTGGGCTTCGAGAGGACCCTTGGGGTGAGCAGAGAGGTTAGAGCGTTGGCTTAAGCCAGAGCCCAGAGACAACATTCCCTAGATGCATCCAGGCCAGGGCTCAGAGCAAGGCTGAAAAGATAAGTGTGTTATATTTCTGGGTTTGAATTGTAGCCTTAGAAGGATGAATACCATGTGTCATCTCAGCTCTGTTTATCACTAGACATGCAAATTTGGGCAAGTTAGGTCACTTCTGTGACCCTATTTCTAAATCTGTAAATGGCAGTCACCTCAGATGATTGTTATTGGATAGAATTAGATAGCACTGGGTCAGCTGGTGGCAGGGTGCTTAGGCAGCTGGATCCCACATGACCAATTGTGTGGCTTGAGTCCCAGACTGGGCAGCTTGAAAAACATACCAGGCACGTATGTGTGCATGTCCAAAATCTCAGGAAAAAAGGGAGAAATGAAGGAGAAGGAGGGGGAGGCAGTGCTTCTCACATTCCCTCTCTCTGACTTGCTCTGGTAAGGCCATGTGACCTCTGGCAAACTAAAAAGAGACAGAGTGAGAGAGAGACCCTATGAAGCATTTAGCACAAACTCTGGCACACAGGCATTCAACAAATTATCACCAAAGGCCTACGAAGAGAAGCAGAGATGGCACCGGGAGCAGACGGTGCTGAGACTCCAGCTGGAGGCACTTCAGGCAGAGCGGGATGCTGCTGAGCAGGACCTAGTAGCCCTCTATGATCTGCACGTGCAGGCCACCCGAGCTCAGACATGCCACATGCTGCAGGTCAGTAGGGACAAAGGGCAGGCCTTGAACTTGTTCTGAGGCTGGCTGGCTGACAGGCATCTCTGAATCTGGACACAGGTATTCCGAGCCTGGCAGGGACTGTGGGAGGAGAAGGCCATGACCACAGAACATCATCACCGCAGCCTGCTGGCTGGCATCCTGCAAGAAACCATCAACTTGGCCACACAGAACCAGGAGCTCCAAGCCCAGAACCAGCAGCTTCAACACGGTGCAGACTAAGCCTAGGCACTCATACTGGAGCCCTGCTCTGGAGAGAAATCTGGTATTGGGACCCTTCAGGGGCAGTGTCCTCTCTCCTCATTCTTTTTTATTTAGAGGTTTTTGCTATAGGGCACGTGCGCTCGCCAGACAGACAGAGACAGAGACAGAAAGCGAGAAATCACCCCCCAGGGGGGATGGCCACACTGCAATCCCTTCTCCTCCATTCTCCTCTCGGGATCTTGGGCACACACGCACACGCGCCTGGCGTGAGTTTTAAGCCACCAGGTCCGGGATGCAAACCATGGTCGACTACGTGGGAGTCGGAGTCCAGCAACATAGCCATTACGCTAACTGCTGGTCCCTCTCCTCATTCTTGAGGGTCCTGGAAGGGAAAGGAGGGTGGGACATAGCAAAGCTGATCCTCATTATAGATCATTAATAATACCACTGACTGGGACCAGCAGATGGTGTAATGGCTATGTCCCTGGACTCCCACGTAGTCTACCATGGTTCGAGTCCTGGACCAGGTGGCTTAAACTCATGCCAGGCACGTGTGTGTGCGTGCCCAAGATCCCGAGAGGAGAATGGAGAAGGGATTGCGGTGTGGCCATCCCCCCTGGGGAGTGATTTCTTGCTTTCTGTCTTTCTGTCTCTCTCTGTCTTTCTGGTGAGCACGAGAGCTGTAACAATTTGTTTTTAATTATATAATTAAAAAATAATAATTCTCATACTGTTATTATTGGTCCATCTATATATATATATACATATATATATAAAATTTGAATTTTGGAAACTTTAGCTGTGCTGTCAACTTTGGAAAAAGTATCCCAGTTTACTATGTTGAGTTGGCATTGTACAGAAATTAACAGCCATATTGGTCTAGAAACGTTAAACTTAATTTTTTTCCATTTGTACAGGGGTAACACACTGTATTAAATATGTAAGGTCTTATCTACATGGGTTTGATTACAGAAACTAATAGAGTATTCTCTAAATAATGAAAAAAAAATAATAACGCCACTAACACTATCTCATTGTGCCCATTTCTGCTAAGCATCTAAAATCCATTATTTGCCTTTGCCTTCTTCAGCCACCCTATATGGCAGGTACACAGGGTCATTTCAGATAAGGCAACTAAAGCTAGAAGAAGATAAGTAACCACTACTGGGGAGTGAGCTAATAAGGGCAGAACCAGAATTCAAATTCAAGCCTGACCATAGTTCTACACTGCAGTCAGCAGTGGTTCACAAGCTTCAGTATATATCAGAAGCACCTAGGGAGCTTAAGAAGAAAGAATCTCCAACCCCCATCCCTAAGATCCTGGCTCAGTTGGTCTGGGACTCTCTTTTTCACAAGCTCACTGGGTGTTCTATCACAACAGGGCCTGATATTCCTCTGCAATTCTCTGGCCATAATTTTAAAAAAATTATTTATTGTATTTTATTTATTATTATTTTAAAATTTGACCAAAGGGAAAGTTGAGAAAGCAAGCAGCCAGGTCCAGGGCTTGAACTGCAGTCAAACATATGAGAGTCCAGAGCCTTAACCACCATGCTACCTGCTGGCCCCCTGGTCATACATTTTTAAAAAGTATTTTTAAGTTGGGGCTTGCAGGTGGCATAGTGGTTAGGGGTGCTGGACTCCCACATGTCCGACTGAGGTTCAAGTCCTGAACCTGATGACTTACTTTCTCTCTCTCTCTCTGTCCCTCTCTAGTAAAATTAAAGTAAATAAAGTTAAATAATTCTTTAGAATATTTTTAAGTTTATTTTTTTCCATGAAAGAGGAGACTCCAAACAGGGTCCATTTTTTTTCTCTTTAGATTTTTTCCATAAGCTGGTGTACACGCCAGAGAGAGACAGAGAGGGAAAATGAGAACTCACCATTGAAGCGAAATGGCCACACCACAACCCCTTCTCCTTTTGGAACTCTAGGCAAAATGCACATATGCCCAGTGTGCTTTTTCAAAATGCCTAGTTGGAGACTCATACCTCAGTCAGTCATGCAGGATCCGGTGCCTTAACCATCATACCATCTTCTGGCCTCCCAGTATCCATCTATATAATTTTTTTAGAGGTTTTTGTTATAGGGCGCATGCACTTGCCAGAAAGAGAGACAGACAGAGAGACAGAAAGCAAGAAATCACCCCCAGGGGGGGATGGCCATGCCGCAATCCCTTCTCCTCCATTCTCCTCGTGGAATCTTGGGCATGCACGCACACACTCCCAGCGTGAGTTTTAAGCCACCGGGTCCGGGACGCAAACCGCGGTCGACTACATGGGAGTCCAGTAACATAGCCATTACACTAACTGCTGGTCCCCTAATAGCCATCTTGATGCTGCAATTCCCCCTCAGCTTCAGGCGACCCCAGATTATGGGAATGCCCATGCCCAGTGTACTCAAAGATCTCCCCAGAACCTTCCCGTGTGGGTCAGTCTCAAAGAGTGTTGCACTTCACTCTTTTGCCACTGTCTGGCCACCTCCAGGCAAGATTTAAAGGACAGATTACAGGCAAGAGTTACCAGTGAGGGAACCAGGAAATGAGAGTCAAAACTACCTTACTGTTCTTGTTTCCTATGCCTTGCTGCGGTCTCAGCGGTGATACAGCTCTGTGAGGCTGGAAAAAGCCATATAGAGGTTTGAGGTTTGGTTCTGATTGACTTGTCCAAGCTCGGTACCTGTGCATGCCTGTGTCCCTGGCGGCTGATAAAAGCTAGCAGGTGGTGGGAGCTCGAGACCCAGTTGAAGATTTTTTTGGGGGGGTAGAGGTTTTTGCCTTAGGGCACGTGTGCTGGGGGTGGGGTGGAGACAGTGAGAGGGAAAGTGAGAAATGCCCCCCCCCAAGGCTACATTGAAATCCCTCCTCCTCCAGGGATCTTGGGCGCGCATGCACACCCCCCCTCCTCCCCTTGTGCTTCAAGCTGACACTGGAAACCGAACCGCAGTCAGCCAGCAGTGTAACCGCTATGCCACCCACAGGCTCTGAAGATGCTTCTTTCTCTCATAAAACATGTGGGGGAAAATGTTTTGGAATCTAGGATCTACAGTTTGTTCTGCTGGGCTCAATACTTTGTTACCCAAGATTGCTTCCCTCCATATTCCCAAGTTTTGTGCTTCAGGGCAATTTCTCCCCCCCAAAAAAGGGGGGGGGCAATTTAAAAACCTCTGACAGGAAAGGCTCAGCTCTATGGAGCCGCCAGAGGAAATAATGCTGCTGGCAACACCTGTAGTAATTTTTTCTCCTGGTCTAGAAGTTACCCCAGAATTAAGACTTAGGACACCAGGGGAACAAAATTATGTTAGAGAGCAGCGTGACATAGAAGATACAGGACAATCACAATCAGTCGTAGGGCCCACCCTACACTCTACAACTTTATTAAGACCTTATTGCTTACGCAGTTAGACACTGATTGAGCTAGAGCTACAGAAGTTTCCCGTACCTGGTCCCAGGCCACTCCATGTAAGTTTCCCCAGGATGTTGGGTGCTGGGACACTGCTATGTAAGGACAGGATCGAGTAGGAAGAATGGTCTCTCCTAGGAGCCTTAGAGGGGGCAGTGGATTTCAAGAGGGCCCTTGGGTTGAGTAGAGAGGTCAGGAGTGTAGGCTTAAGCCAGGGCCCAGGGGCAACATTCCCTGAGGTGCATCAAGCTCCAGCCCTCCCTGGGGTTTCCAGAACAAGGACTGGGTAGGGAGAGCAGCTCTGTGGAGGGGATGGGGGCACATCTCCAGGCACCACTGGAGCTGAGAGAGACTGGAAGAGTGGCCTGGAGGATGGCTATGTAACTGTGGTATTGGGGCCCTTTTGCATGATGGAGCTGGGGGGCACCTCTTAGTCTTGCTCCATGGTGGATTGGAAAAGCCAGCACCTGGCTTGGGATCAGGGGGTCTGTTGAGGTGACCACAGGAAGCAAGGAAGGCCACCTTTCAACCTATACCTCACTTCCAAGAGCTGTATTCATGCAGAATGAGGCAGGGAGCTTCCGGCATCAGATACACGGTAATTCTTATGCCTAGAGCCTAGGTACTGAAGCCCCTTAATTCCATAGCCTGGAAAAACTTGGAGGGGATAGTTAAGTTTCCTTAACCAAAGTCATTCTTTACACCTTCACAAGTCTGCTCTAACTTCCCCGGCTTTCCTCACAAGGCACTTGTTAGGGCTGCTGAGTGGAGAAGAGGGGAGGCCTGGGAGGTGGCTTTGACAGTGGTGACCAATCTACAGGTTGAGGAGTCAGGGCGAAAGAGAGGGACTAGTGGCTGCCATAGTACAGGCTCACGGCTAGGCCGATGAGCAGCGTGGCTAAGAAGAAAGCAGCTGTGAGCTGCAGTCGCAGCAGGGCTGCTGAGAGCACGGCGTTGACCACCAGTGAGCAGGACACGACAAAGAGGCGTGTGATGCTGCTGCCATGCTTCATGACAGCTGACATGAGCAGTCCATTCAGCGCCTGGCTCAGCACCACAAGAGCTGCCCATCCTGAGAAACCCTCCAGGAGGCCCGGGCCGGGGCCACTACCTGCATGCAGACCCAAGTTCAGAAGCACACCAAAAGTGTACAGGAAGAGGTTCTGAAGTGCCAGGGGCAGCCGCTGTCGCTTCATGAGCAGTTCCGTGTACACAGACGACAAGCCTGAGATGAGGCAGTACAGGACAAGGAGCAGCAGTCCTAGTGGAGTGATATGCAGGGGCATGGGGTTGGCAACAGCTGCTGGAGGGGGCCCAGGAAGGGTGTTCCTGGGGTCCTGAAGGCCACCTGCTGCATAGCAGACCCCTGCGGCCATCAGCAGCAGCAGCGCTAAGCCCTGGCGTGCAGAGAGGCGGTGTTGGAGGCAGAGGCAGTAGAACAGGGCTGTGCTTCCAATCTTGAGATTGCTCAGCACCTGGTAAGTGCTGGGGTCCATGTAACGCTGAAGATAGATCACCAGGTTGTTGCTAGCACTGTAGAGCAGGGCTGATAGTGCAAAGGGGGCAGCCTGGCGCCAGGGCAGGGCTCCGTGGGGCCATGTCTGCCAGCCCACCAGGAGGGAAAATGCACACAACAGCAGCTTGGTTAGCTCAGTCAGCAGCACGGCTGAGGAGGGCCGGAATGGTACTCGACCATCCACATGGCACAGGGCCAGCAACGGGGCATGGGCGCCATACATGGCAGTGGATAAGAGCAGCATGAGGATCCAGCGTGCCTGCCTGGGACGGCCCAGGCCTGGCATACCCCCGTCCTCTACACTCATGCCTCCACTACACCCTAGGTGGCCTGTGAACCCAGTAAGGGGCAGCAAGGATTTCGACATGACATGAGGAAAATCAAGTTATAGAGTCCATCCTCAAGAGGGAGGAGCCGTGATACATTGCCAGAGAGAACACTGAAGATCGGTCAGCTGCAAATGCTACTATCAGGCCTGGAAAAGAAAGCTGGTGGCACCTGAAGCCACAGTCCTGGGGTCAGTCCCATGGTGTTAGGGAGGGAAGGAGTCCAGAGTATAGGCTGACAAGCCTCTGTCCACTCTCTGCAGGAAGGAAAGCAGGGAAGGTGGTGGGAGGAAAGTTGGAGAGAGTGAATGGATGACAGTCAAGAAAGCCAGATAGAAGATCTGTTGTTGGAAAGTCTCCTCCAGGTCCCAGCTGCTCATCCTGCCTCTCCCATGGGATCCAGAGCTAGTCAGGCCCCTTGCGCAATGACCGCAAATAGTCCCTCAATGTCTTCTCCACATTGGGCACAGCATATGCCTGAGCTGCGTAGATGCCAGTGCAGGTGCCCACAGCGAAGCCCAATACTGCTGATGCCCTCAGTTTGGCCACCACATAGCCGGCCAGGAATCCCTTGAGGAACGGGGAAGACAAGAGTGAGCCATCCTGCAGAGAAAAACATAGAGAGGAAGTCAGGCAGGCTCTATCCCTTCTCTGTCCAGGAACCACTCACGCTGGGCTGACAACATTCAACCACCTTCTTCTCCTTACTCTGGAAAGCTGTGGTATTTTCTCCAAAGATTTTTCTCAAGTTGTGAAGTCAGAAAAAGAACTTAGGAGCCTCGATCACACAATCTCAGAACCCTGGGGTCAGAAGGTGCCAAACACATAATCCTACTATCATAAGGCCAGAGAGGCCTCTGAGGAATCTGATCTCTGTTTCTGCAGCTTCATTTCCTAGTGTGATCCCCAACTACTGCAGCCAAACTGACCTTCCTTCACCCCTCGTGTTCCTAATAGTACTTCTGAGTCCAAGGGTTTTGCCTATGTTGTTGCACCTACCTGGAATAGTCTTTCCTCTCCTTTTCACTTAGCTAACTCCTACTCTTTTTTTTTTTTTTTGGGGGTTTTTTTTTTTTTTTCCGATAGGGGCGGTTGGCTCCCCCAAACGAAAACCCCCCAGGGGGGATGGCTACACCGCAATCCCTTCTCCTCCATTCTCTTCTCGGGATCTTGGGCACACACACACATGCGCCCGGCGTGAGTTTTAAAGCCACCAGGTCCGGGACGTGAACCGCGGTCGACTACATGGGAGTCCAACGACAGCCATTATGCTAACTGCTGGTTCCCCAGTTAACCCCTACTTAAGATCCCAATTCAAGTGCCTTTGCCCAAAGAAACTTCCCATGGGATGACTGAAAATCACTAATCAAATCTCTACCACCGATTCAACACTGTCAAGAGCATACTGGAGGGCAGGATCATGGCACAATGGTAAAACACAATGCTTTATAAGACTGACCCACATAGAAAGGTTCAGGATTCACACCCAGAGATCTCCCCAACTACAAGAGACATACATATGCCTGTGATCTGGGGCTAGCTGAGGGTAGACTGCAGTGTTAGAACTCTGATGGGGTGCTTTCTCTCTCATGCTTATGAAACAAACAAACAAACAAGCAATAAACTAAAAATAAAACAAAACAAAGAGAGCATGTTGGGCAATGAAGCCTAAGTGGTGGTGGTGGGGGAACAGCCGTACCTGTCCCACTCCACTGCTGACTTCGTCCTCCACACGCCGCTGCAGGTGCTCCAGTTGGTTCTTGAGAAATGCCAGGTCCTTAAGCTTGGGCAGCGAATCCTAGGGCAAGGAAGAGCCTGGCTCCAGCAAATAGATCCAGCCCCATCCCCTGTTCAATTATATCAGAGCTAGGATTTTGGGGGGAATGGTGTGAGCCAGAGAAATGTGTTCCTATAAAACTCCTCTGACAGCCAGCCATGGAGGCATAGCAGTCCACAATGCTGAGACCATATAGGAAGGTCCTGGATTTGCATCCTGAGGGCTCCTTGCGTGTGTTAGATGTGTGCACATATACCCATGAGCCTGGCTGGCTGGGAGGCGTATGGTGGAGTAAAGACTCTGTTGGAGGTGATCCTTTCTTTCTCTCTCTCTTTGGGACTGGCAGGAGGAATGGTGGTTAAAGGTGCTAGACTCCCATATGCTGACCATGGTGTGAATCCTGGACCTGCCAGCTTGCTTTTCCACTTTCTCTCTCTTTCTCTCTGTCTTGCTATGGTCAAATTAAAAATAACAACAATGAAAAATGAAATCAAGGAAATAATTTTTAAAATATATATTAAAAAAAGGACCCTGTTGGAGGTGCCCCCTCTTTTTCTCTCTTTCATGAAAGAAATACATAACAATTTTTGGGACCAGCAGATGGCATAATGGTTATGTCACTGGACTCCCATACAGTCAAACACAGTTTGAGTCCCAGACCCAGTGACTAAAACTCACACAGGGCAAGTGTGTGTGCATGCCCAAAATCCCAAGAAGAGAAGGGATTGTGGCATGGCCATCCCCCTTGGGGGCTGATTTCTTGTTTTCTGTCTGTCTCTCCAGTGAGTATATGTGCCTATAGCAAAAAAAGGTCTCTCTTAAAAAAAAAAAGAAAAACTTTCTAAAAAATAAAATAAAACCTTCCTGAGGTGGCAGCAGTAAAAGAAGAAAGGCATTGAGAAGCACAGAATTCACATGAAGGTAAGGGGAGAAGAGACACATGGGATCTGCACCAATAACTCAAAACAACTCCCCTCTGTCTTTTTTTCTATAGGGTGTGTGCGCTCGCCAGACAGACAGAGAGAGGACAGAGAGACAGAAAGCAAGAAATCACCCCCTGGGGGGATGGCCACACCACAGTCCCTTCTCCTCTGTTCTCTCGGGATCTTGGGCACGCACGCACACGTGCCCGGCATGTTTTAAGCCAACGAGTCTGAGATATGAACCGCGGTCAACTACATGGGAGTCCAGCGACATAGCCATCACACTAACTGCAGGTTCCCCCCCCCCCTTTTTTTTTTAAATTTAGGTCACATGTGCTTGCCAGAGAGATACAAAGAGGGAGAAAGCACCCCTCAATAGGTCGTGGTCACTCCACAATTCCTTCTCTTTTTTCCATCCTGTTGGGATTTGGGGGCACACACACACACACACACACACACACACACACAGCGAGTGTATTTTTCAAGTCAGATTGGAACCACTGTCAGCTATGTGGGATTTGGCTCCCTTAACCATTAACCTTAACTGGTAGGCTGCAATTTTGCGGCCCCCACCCCTGCAGAATTTTTACATCACAAGGCAGTGTCGGGGAGACAAGAGAGGGGTAGCTAAGAGACCTCACTAAGGTCTACCAGGCCAGCGCTACTGACTGGCGCTTCCTTAAAGTGGTGACCGGTCTGTCTTAACTGCTACGTTCCCGCGCCTGACACAGGAACTGACAAGCATTTAGTAAATGTGTGGGTGATCCTGAGTCCATACCAATGGTGAGGATGAAACGAAACAGTTCCCCGAACAATTTGGGGGCAAACCTGACTCCTGCACGAGCTTTACCCTTTTTCTCCCAAAGCCATCCCATCCAAATGGATGTGACTGGATCCTAGGGGGAATGCCTGTAAGTGTGAGTAAAATGATTTGATTTTGATCGCATCTAAGGTGAAATTCACTTGGTAAGAAGTGTCTGAACGAGGGAGCTGTGATTACATGGGCATGGGAAACGCCTGTGTCTCAGGGGAGAAAATTTCGGGGGCTAAAGAATAGGGTAGAGGGAAGAAGGTTTCAGGGTGACCGTATGAGTGTGGGCTAGTAGCTGGGCACCGTGGTGGTCCCCGGGAGGGAATACCTGGGCATTCCGGGTTTCGCCCGCCTCACCTAATGCTACCCCTACGTTATCGCTCGTTGTTGTAGTCTATAAAACCTCCAAGGGAAACAAGGAGCACTCCGTCCCTGAGTCGTTCGTGCTGTCCCTCTCCAGAACTGAAAGGTTGCAGAATCTGAAGATCCCTCCCGACCGCGGATAACCCCCAAGTTCCCTCACCTTGTCATCCGCCATCTTCCCCGCCGAATTTGTTGCGCAGGCGCAGCTCCGCCTCCTTCGAGCCAAGAGCCACAGCCATTTTTACTGAGGGCAGACGCACTTCCGGGGCATTTTCGAAGTGAGGCACTCTGCAGGAAGCCGAGCCCTGCGGGTCTCCCGGTAGACGCTTTCACGTGACCAACCTGGCAAATTCCAGCCTGAGTGCGCGCGCATACGACCCGGGCGCGATGACCTCACTTGTGCGCCAGTGCACGCGGCGCACGTTCGCCTCGCCGGCCTCCTGCTGCCTGATGAGCTCATAGTTGCGCGGTGGCGTCAGCAACTCCGCTCGCGTTCGTACGCCTCCCCGCAATACACGCAAGGAAACACATAGCCACTCGGTGATCCGGACGTCTGCTTACACGCACCACCCCTCAGCGGGCGGTGCAGCTCAGGCCCGCCTCTTCCCGCCCCCGGGGCCTGCCCCTGCCCCGCCCCGTGTTTGTGCGGCACCTGCTGGCGGGGTCTTCTCCGGCGCAGAGGCCGGGCTTGTAGGCACAGCAGATCCGGAGGTCGCACTTTACAGAGAGTGCGGGCTGGCAGAGGCCGGCGGGAACGCGGCTGGGGCTATGCTGGGCAAGGATTATATGCTGGCCATCATTCTGGTCAACTGCGATGGTGTGCACAGAGGGCTTAGTCGAGGGCGAGGGGCTGCGGGGCGATCAGGGAGCGCAACATGTTACCCCGAGGCTCAAAGATAGGGTGCGGGGCATATCTCGTGAGGACTAAGGGGACAAATTAATCTTGATTTTTGAATCAGTGTCTTCAGATTGGGAACCTGGATCTGCAGCCTAATGGTCGTCCCTTTTGGGATGGAGAATGAGTTAGGGTTAGGAACAGTTGGGTACATTCTTGCAAGAAATGTACCCAAATGTATCCTTTCTCTCAATCCTGTGTTACTGTAGATGATTTGTGGGGGGACCAGAGTCTGGAGGGGGAGCCAGGCCTACCCCCAGGATGGCGGAAGATCCGAGATGCTGCAGGTACTTACTATTGGCATGTACCCAGCGGTAGTACCCAGTGGCAGCGCCCAACCTGGGAGCTAGGAGATGCAGAGGACCCAGGCACGGTAGGTGGAGTGTGAGGAGGGGGGGTTGATCCCCTTTGTGGTCCTGGGCCTGCTGCTACACTAACTTCCACTCTTACAGGGGACAGAGGGGATTTGGGGATTGCGGCCTCCCAAGGGGAGATCCTTCTCCAGCCTGGAGAGCTCACTGGACCAGAGGTAATAGGGATGGCCCAGGCAAAATGAAAAGTTTGGGGTTCTGTGGCACTCACAAATGTAGCTGGACCAGTAGTCTACTTTATAGCCTATGTTCTGGATCCTCTCCTTTGGGCTCTGATCTGTGTTCTTGGGACAGTCCTGTGTTCGTGACTCAGTCCCATATTCTTGACTCTCAGTAGTTTTGAGTTTTTTCTCTTGTTCCAAGCTCCTGTCTTCAGCCACCTACCCTTTTCTGTATTCTGGGCCTGACCCATCATATTCTAGACTGTGACCATTGTTAGGCTCTGAGAGTTTCTATTCTGTGCTCTAGGTTTCTCATTTCAGTTTGGGGCTGTGATCCACATATTAGACCCTGCTCCATGTTTGTGATTTTCATTATGTGTCTTGTGCGTAGGTCCTATGTTCTGAATTTTCCCTCAAGTTTTACGCAACACTTAATTTTTTATGTCTCAGTCCCCATCCCATGCTGGTTTGGTATTTGTGGTTCTATATTCTTGGTCTTTTTCTACATCCTGTGCTCATGAAGTTATCTGGGCCTCATCAGTACCTCTACTGTAAGAAGTGTGGTCCTCTAACCAGCTTTGCTCTGTTCTAGTAACTCTCTGTCCTGGTATGGTGAGGAATCCTACATCCAGAGCATGGAGCCAGGGGCTAAGGTAGTGACTCAGGCCTGAGGGCTAACGCAGGGTACTGGGAGGTCCCAAATGAAAGATCAGGGGTGGGGACTGGACTAAACAGAGATGATCAAGGGTGAAGGGAGGGAACACCAGAGGGTTTGTATGTATGGAGCCTGTGGCACCTGCCACCCAACACCACCCCTCCTTGCTCCTGTCTTTTCCCCCAACCCATTAGTGCTTTGCAGTCCGCTCTCTGGGTTGGGTAGAGGTACCCGAAGAGGATCTGGCACCGGGGAAGAGCAGCATTGCAGTCAATAACTGCATTCAGCAGTTGGCCCAGTCTCGCAGTGGGAGTCAGCCCCCTGATGGTGCCTGGGGTGAGGTGAGGTGGTTGGGCCCCTCAAGTGGTTCAGCCCAGGGAAAGTCCAACAGAGGTAGTTGTCACTGTTTCTCATGACAGCCATCTTTATCTGAGCTCTGGGCTGACCTCTATCTTTTTTTTTTTTTTTTTTGAGAGGT